ATTCTCCTGTGGCATTATCAGATCTGTCAGGACCTTTCTTCCAGAAATCAGAGAAGACCAGCCTTGGCCCCAGCTCCCCTGTGTATGACCTTGGCCAGACCCTTCATCTCTCTATACTCCCTTCATTTCCTCACCTGGAAAAGGAGGAGATTGAAGCACATGGCGCCAGAAGGACCAGCAATGAGTCTCCTTCCTTGCCTCACCTTCTCCCCAGAAAGTGCTCTAGGGAAAATGAAGGATGCGTTATTGCTGGTAGCCAACGGGGGCACCAGCTCCTCTAGAAAAAGACCTCAGACAGGGCGCTTCCCTCCCTTCTTGGCAGTCGGAGGGACTACGGGAGTAGAATACGGTCTCTATGTATTACTGTCAGACTAGCTTGATGTGCTAATTGTGGCTGCCTCCTCCCCCCTCCCACCGCCATGTTTCTTTTTTATTCTTTGTTACAAGGGGTGGCTCTCTGAGCATAGAAGGGAAAAGGATATATCTGGATGATGTCAAAACAAAAAAGAAGAGTTTTTTTTTTTAAGAAAAAAGAAAAAGGCTTCAGAACGGGAGAAGAATCAAAGAGGAACCCAAAAGGTTTTCTTGAACAATACTCAGCCTCATGATTCTACAACAGAAAGAGAGCTCTGAGACCACTAGGCCGACCTCCAAATTTTCTAAGAGGAAATTGAGATACAAAAGAAGAAGTTTACTAGCTTGTCCAAGTTCGTACTGCCATTAAGTAGCAGGTGGGATTTGAATCCAGATCCTCTCGACTCCAGACCCAGGCCTTTTTCCAGTGTGCCCCTCGGATAAGTATATATAACAGAATTTTCCTCATCCCCATTTTCTGATCCCAAAACCAAGGCTCTTCCCACTAAACAACACTCCCATTCCAACTGGATTATGTTATAGATGGGAAAATGGAGGCCAAGAACAGTGACATCACTTTCCCAAAGTCATGCTATTAGTAGCTGAGCTGGCTTTAGAGACTGAAATTCTTGAATCCCATCCCAGCGGCCTTTCCAATCTACCACAATGTTGCTCTCAAAAATAAGTACGAGATCTTATCCAGATCTCATTCCTCAAACCTCTGCCCACGATGGGAATTAATCTGATAAAACCCTTTTTGGGTGCTAATACCCACAAACACCTAACTTTGGCCTTAGAGACCAGCGGCTAAGGATAACTCAGGCACCACCCTTCCTTACTCCTGAAATCACTTCCACAGGATACAGAGATCAGCAAGGGGAGGGAGGCCTTTCCCTGAAATCAGTCCTCCTCCGAGCATGGATGGAGACTAACAGAGGCCACTGGATATTCAGCTCTAAATTGTATACAGGGTGGCCCACTTCAAACTCCATGAAAAGCGGCTTGATATAGACTCTGTCTAGAGAGAACATAATGCAGAGGACCCAGCCTGAGCCCAAATCAGGGGCTGATGTCCCAAGCAGGGAAAACAGCCAACACATCAGGCCATTAGCAAGTGTGGCTCCTGACTGTACCTCTAGGGGTCGGACGAACCCCTGCTCTGGAGGAAGGGCTTCCATCTAACTGGTAGACAACTATTAGGCTGAAACTCTACAAGGAATATAATAAACACATATTCCCCTACAGGAGCCAAGCCTTCCCATAATGGAAGAAATTTTCCCACCCCACACCTCCAAATAATCTCTTTTTTGTCTATAATAACAACCCTTTAGGCTTTACTAAACTGATCAAATCAGGGTAAGCCTGCAGGTATATATACATACATACACACATACACATATATACATATATAAATATATACACGTGTATGTGTATATGTGTATATATGTGTGTATATACATACATATTTTATACACACACACACACACACACACACACATATATATATGTATATATATAAATATATCTTTAATCAGCCAATAAATGAATTGATGATCTACGGTGTACTAAGCACTGTGGAGAAGAAAACAAACCTCTCAAAGTGCTTACATTCTATCAGAAAAGACAACATGTAGATACAAAGAGATAAAAAAGGATGCATCCATTCATCCAATGACTCCATCGGTGTTAATTAACTGGAGGACATCCATTTAGTCTCCCCTGTGGTTTCTAAAACAAGGTAACAATAGACATGTTGGAAGAGGCTCACAGGAAGGGCTTGGCAGGGGCACATAGGAAATGCTGCCTTTATTTCCTTTGTTTTTCCTACTACTGGGAAGGAATTGATTTTCCCTCTTCTGCAGGACTCTACATTGTATAACGAGATGCTTTTGATGAACAGTGAGTCATGGGCCTCTTTGACTTTCTTCCATCCCCCTTTGCATGGGCTGGGGAAATACTTATCTACAACTCAGCTCCCAGCTCCACGCCTCTCCCTCTTCACTTCCTCCTCTTAGAATCCTTAAACTTCCCTTCAAGGGCCCCCTTCACTATCAGTTCCAGCAAGAAGCCGATCCAGATTCCCCCTCCCCACTGAAATTATTCTTTAATGATCTTACTGTGTATGTGTTGAGATGTCCCAATGATAAGCTTTTTGAGGGCAGGAAATGTTTCATCTTGGGTTTAGTATCCCCAGAGCTGAGCACAGTGCCAGGCACATCATAGGCACTTTGTAAATGGTAGTTAATGATTGAAATGGTACCCAGCAGAACACGAAGCAAGGGCCTCTGGGAGGAAGATGCTAGCAATGAGGAAAGTGCCACAGAGGAAGATCCCAGCCCTGAGATGAGGGGCCAGAAGGGTTTGATCCAGGACTCAATGCTGCCGTGATCAAAGATGGCGGTGAGCCAAGAGCAACACAACAGGCTTTGGAACTCTGGCAGGCCTCAGAGTCTCAAAAGGCTGGGGGCAGCTGCTAAAAGTAGGGCCGGCACAGGCCTCTGTCAAGAAGCAGCCAGAACACGTCCAGGAAGTCCCAAGCCACGGAGACAGTCCCAACTGGTGGCTTGAGGTTTTAAGGAAGGAGAAAGAACCACCTTGGAGTGTGGGGACAGGAAACATCACTCTTTCCTGAAGCATGTTCTATTTCTGACAGCACTGACAAGGGGGTTGGAATCCTAGCCCTTTCTGGGTCCATCACTGCCCGGTTTGTTACAGCTGCCTACCAACCAATTACCAACAAGCTCTTACCATGTGCCAGGAACTGGACTGGGAATTCGGTAGACAAAGGTGTGTTTAAATGAAGATTTGAAGGAGCAAAATCTACTACCCATAACAGAGATTTAAAATGAAACAAATTATTTTTTGCTCAAAATTATTATTAACTATAGTAATATTAATATAAATAATATTTATATTATTTATTGATGCCAATATAATATGAATGATATCCAAACTCAAATTTTATTAAATGTTTACAGTTCCTCATACCTATCTCCATCTACCTTGCTTTCAAGTCGCCCTCCTGGGAATTTGTCCAACTGTGTAGGTGTGCTTGGTGTGTGGGCACTCCTGTCTAAATCCTATACAATGTAAACCTTCCAGAGCCTGGACCAGAAACTCCTTTCCAAGCTGGTCTCCTTGACCAAAAGACCAAATACATTTCTTTCTAAAACTATTTCAGATTTCGGGGTCTGTTTTTGCAAACAACAGAGATGACATAGTGGCACATTTTAAAGTGCCGTAGAAACATTAGCTAGGATGAGGAGGAGGAAAAGGAAGATGCCGGGATGTCAGACAAACCTCATTAGTCTCTACGTTTAACCAGATGAAGGAAATTCTGTTTGGCATAATGTGACTTTATAATATGGAAAAAGATAGGAGAAGAAAGCCCTCCAAAATGATCAGGAAAAACAGCAGGTGTAACCATTTTCCATACTACTACTGTTTTACTGCTGTTCTTCTCAATGTCTCCTAGAGGCTTTCCCACAGGGAGTCACTGTTGTCAGACACTGAACCTCTAGGTTGGTTTGGCCCTTTGGATGGTTCTGTGGCTTACAGTTTCCAAATCTAATGATGAATGTGTTCCTTTCAAAACAAAACCCCCAATGCCTTTTCTCTGACCTTTTCTCACTAGATAAGGTGCTGTCCAGAGGGCTCTTTGGCAAATCAAAGCAGGAACATGATTGAGGGGGCCAGTGGTCTCTGGAGGGGTCAGACCCAAACACCTAACAACCCACTAGGGGAGCTCATGCAAAGCTATGTGTCTTGTGGGCTACTCACAGGGGTAGGTGCCCCTCCCCCCTTTAGAACCATCTGCTGGACAGTGACCAAAGCAAACTGCAGATGTATTTACTGGTTGTATGAGATCTGGGCAATTCATGGAATGGCGATGAGGCTCTGAAATAAGGCTGGACCAGAGGTCGCCTGAGGTCCCTTCCGGCTCAAACTTTCTGATCCTATGTTGACTAAGCAGCTATGGCACTGGATTTAGTGCTGGGCATAAAGTCAGGAAGAGCTGAGTTCCAATCCTGCCTCCGGCCCTGCTTAGCTGGGTAGCCCTGCATGGGTTACTGCTCACTTCATTTCCTCAGCAGGGACACAGGGTTAGCACCTGCCTCAGAGGATTCTTTTGGGAATCAAAACAGATAACACATGCCGACTGCTTTGCAAACCTTCAAATGCCATGTAAATGTGGGCTATGACTGCTGTCAGAAAGTCTTTCTGGACACTAGCTGCTTTAGCAATAGCTCATCCAGATTCCCCTTTTTTTTTTCCATTTTTGTAAAGGTAAAGAGAAGCTAATGGCTCTCTTAGCTCCCGTACAACGATCCATAGCTCACAGTCCCAAGATCATACGTCAAGCATTGGAAAGGACCAGAGAGACAATCTCATCTACCCCTTCATTCTAAAGGACAGAAAACGAGGCCCAGAAGGGTAGTAAGTGCAAGAGCCAGGTCTGCGACTCCCAATACAAGCCCTTCCTACTGCATCCCTCTCCCCGGTCATCCCCAACAGTGCAGCAAATCTGTTAGCCTGAGCTCCTGTCATGGCTGTGGGTGGCTGGCCCCTTACCCAGGAAACCTTGCTCAACACATCCCTGCTATGCCAATGCCACGATCATCTTAGCTGTGCGCCGGAGCCCTTACCTGAGAGGGTCAGCAGCAGCCGTGGAAGCAACCGTCCAGGGACACAGGAGTCAGCAAACAGCTCCTCTCACAGCTGCAGAGGAAAGAGTGAGAGGTCAGCATCAGGGCACGGAGCCAAATGGCCCTTACTAACTACAAGCATGGAGGTGGTAACCAGTGACTCGTAGAGTGGATACAAGAAAGCAACCGGTTTAACGGAATAACAAGCCCATTGCTCCCTAGAAGGGATGGAGGGGGAAGGAGAGGACACTGCCCCAACCCCAGGGGGCATTGCATCATGCGAGCTGCAGGAGATGCAGCAGCCCAACTGCTGAATGACAAAAATTGGAGAAACCCAAGCTCAGGTGGGGAGTTAGAACACACAAGGGCACATGAGTAATAATCAACAAAAAGCAGACTTGAAATTGGGCCTCCCGGCCAATCAACCAAGCACCAATGATTTATCCCATACAAGTAGGTTGGGAACACACAGGAAAAGCACAAGTAGTCCCTGCTTACAATCGAATGGGGAAGACAACAAACCCATAAATGGGTGCATTCAAGAGCCAGACAACATAGAAGGAAAGAAACCACAGAGAAGTCCTTGCCACTGGGGCCTGAAGAAAGGCAGGTTCTGAGCTAGGCCCAAAGGGAACCAGAGATTCTCAAAACTGGAGGTTACGTGTTCCAGGATGAATGTTGCATATGAACATTTGATTCCACAATTAAAGGAAAGGAAACTCCTAAAGATTCCTTTTCATCTTTGAACTCTCAGGGGTGAGCTACTCACAAAGGGCAGCTAGGGGATGCCATAGTGCACAAACCAGGCTTGGAGATAGGACATCTTACTGAGTTCAAATCTGGCCTCAGGTTTTACTAGCTGAGTGACCCTGGCCAAGTCACTTCACCCTGTTTGCCTCAGTTTCCTCATCTATAAAATGATCTGGAGAAGGAAACAGCAAACTACTCCAATATCTTTGCCAAAAAAATACCAAATGGGGTCACAAAGAGTCTGACGTGGCTGAAATGACTGAATGAACTCCCAATGGCTAGCACAGTAATTGCCACATAGCCAAATGCTAAATAAATACTTGTTCACGAACTATACAGACTACTCAATCACACCCTACTGAAAAGATGAGACTGGATCTGTTGTTGTTGTTGTGAAGTACATTTCAGTGTGATATCCCCGGCGCAGCCCGCCAATCTCTCTGCAAACCCCATTTGTTGGCGGAAGCAAGGCACTCCAGAATCTAAGAGGAGATTCAGTCACCATATTGATCCCAACAATCAGCACACCTTTGAATCCGCATGAGCCAAGGTCACACTCTCCATATTTGAAAGAATGATTCAAGTTTCAGAATTTGATTCTTTGAGTGAATCATTCAGAGTCCTTCCATGAAGACCCAGCCCAGAAACCATCTCTTCCATGAAGCCTCTCCTAATTCCAATCAAATAAATACTCATTAAACACCAGGCACTATACTAAACACTGGGGATATAATTAATAAAATGAAAGATAATGCCTGCCTTCAAGGAGCTTACGATATAAAGGGGGAAACAACACACAAAAGGAGGCAGGAAAACAGACACCAGAGTATACCTCATTCCTTGGAGCTGAAACCAGGCCAGACCAGGTAGAGTGACCTGGGAGTCCAGAGTCTGCCCTCTAGAAGGGAAGGCATTGGAAGGAACCCAAAGAGAGGGGGAGAGGAGACAGAGGGAGGTAGTGTCAATCAAGTCTGGAGCAGGTAGCCAGGTAATGAGAATAGATGTGATGAGCTTATTCTGGGAAGGGCATCTTATTCTATGGAGCTGAACCAAGGGGAGGGAACAGATGCCCCACCAAGAATGAGCTCTCTAATGGTGCCTGACAGCTCCCCTATGTCACTTTTATGTTTTTATATGTCTAATATTTTTCCTCACATTTTTTCGTCCTCATAGGATTGTCAACTCCCCCAAGACCAAGTCTTATTTTTATGTCTCAAAGCCCTTTGCAGATAAAAATAGTTTAATAATGTTTGTCCAATGAGTAAATGCTGGTGGGCATTTTTTACTAATTTTTTAAATACTCATACCTGTCCAACTGTGCTTCACTGCTATCATTTGCAGAACAAAATATTCAAATTTGTTTGAATTTAGAATTTAACTTCCCTTTTAAAAGTCTACACTAAAGACCTCCAATGTCCCATTGAGACATAAAAGTGACCCTGGATTCTGGATTTCAGTAGTGAATATGTTTCATTGAATCTAATCATGTTAGGAAAGACCTAGAATACAGTTCTGGTAACAAACAGTACATCTGCTACCCAAAGACACGCTGAGCTAAAGTCAAGGAGGCTCATTACCAGGTAGATCAAAAAATTTCTCTGGACCCAGAAACTCCTAAAGACCATTGAATAAGTCCTAGACACTTGGACGTGACCTATGTCAACAGAAGGATATTTATATCAATAAAAGTACAGATTTTTGGACACATTGAAATGATGATTTAAAATTTAATTATACTATCAATTGGGAGAATGGAGAAATAAATGTACTAGTTTCTATTAAAATTCCATTAGAAATAGAATGTGATAGTGTTACCTGTGAAAAATACAGAGAAGCAATGAAAGGATAATATCAACTGATGCGGAGGGGAGTCAGCAGAACCAGGAAAGGAATTTGTATAATGACAAAAATGTGGAGAGAACAAAGGACTAACTGAGGCCACAAAAGTGAAGTGAATATTGTATAATTGTATGCGATGTAACTGACCAAGCTTGGGCCTAAAGGAAAGAGAAGAAAATACCTCTCAGTCATTCTTTCTTTGCAGAAGTGAAGGACCATGGCACATAAAATACTGTTAGACAGTACTGATAGATCAGTTAATTTTATGGAGTTTCAACTTTTTGTATTTACAGCGGATAGTAGCAGAGGAGAGACGTGCACCTAGAAATGAAGTTGATACAAAAATAAAAATGTCCCTAAGCTACAACCAGTCAACAGAAGCTCTCTCCCTCCCACCAAAAACCAAGCGTCCCTTGTGAGGAGGCAGCCTGCGAATGCTGGAAGGGATGGTGATGGTGTGCATCACAGATGCACGAGCAAGCTCAGGGTACAGCCTTAGCAAGTGAAAGGGAAGAAAGGACCTCCCAGACATGGTCTAACCAGAAGGCCACACAGCAGTACAAGAGAAGAGCCCCACCTCCAGCTCCTCTGGCCCAGAAGGTGAAGCTTCTCTTGGCGAGGAGGGAGAGGTGTCAGAGCTGGGGCCACATCCCAACACCACCAGATGCCTTTGCCTTAGTTAGAAAGAGACATTCTCATTCTGGTTCTGAGGTCTAAAGTTTCCATCATTCTATCATATTAGCCATATTTGTCATGGATTTCATGTTGAAAGGGGAGCTCAAATTTTCTCACCCTCCCCTAGCTCGTTACTGGAGAAGGAAGAGAAAGCAGGAAGAACACCACATCTTAGCTGAATATGTGAGAACTAGTCAAAGACCCACAAACTCAAGGATGAGCCATGGAGCATTTGTGTTGTAGCCCCACCTTCCTTACATACAGAGGTCTCACCTTACTCTAAACAATGGTCACAACTCACCTAGCCAGGCAGAAATCTGCCAACTTTCCTAAAGGACAAGTATTCTTATATTCAGTAATGTCACCTTGGCCTTGTACTGGCCCACTTAGACACTGAGGATCCTGACAAACACAACTCTTACCTCTGAGACATCAAGGGATGCTCAGCCCTGAATGCCAGAGCTAATGAGGAGGTGAATGACTTTAGGTCCAGAGCCTAGTATTGCCTGATTCCTTGGCCACGGACCCACCAGTCCACCATTCTCCTTACCTCCACTTAGAGGAAGAAAACCTGGCTACTTGATAGTCAATTAAGCAAGAAGCTCTGGCCTGAGAACTGCCCAAGGCAGAAGGAGCTGGGTCAGGCTAAGGTAAGGTCACCTCCTGGGAATACCAGTTACTTACTCTTGGACCTACTTTTTCATTGTGGTTTTTCAGAAAAGTACTCTATAAAAACATTGTTTTACAGGTGTAAGTCACTAATATTTAAGTTACAGGGTCAGTTGGGAAAAAAAAGGGAAGGGAAGAAACCCTGGAATGAATGTCTCTCTCTTAGAATCTCTCCTTTCCTATAAGGCTTAGCTAACATGCCACCTCCTACAGGAAGCCTCTCCTGATTCCCCAGTTGGTAGCAGCCCCATCCCCAGCAAATGCTTTGTATGTGTCATGCATGTACTAGCTGTGTATGTGCTGTTTCCTCCCAGTGGTGTGTAATGTCCTAAAGAGCAAGGACTGGGTCATTTTTGTCCTTGCACAGCCTAACATGTCCTGGCCTGGCATCAGAAGTGAATAAAACATTTGTTTGTTGATTGGTTGATTAATGGTGGTCACCACATGGGCCAACATGAACTAAAAACTAGTTAACTAGAACTTAAAAAACACATAAACAACTAATGGACCCTTCCTCTCTCCCACACATCAACTCAAGTCTGTGCTGGATAAACCTTATCCTTCCAGAGGAGGGTCAAGTTCCAGAATTCCTCTATAACGTCTAAGACTCCTTCAGTTGAAGCTGAAGAATGAAATTAGGAAGGCTCTTGTCCTGAAAGGGGATCAATCTCAGAGTCAGGATTTTCTGTCCCCAGTCAGATCAGGGGGCAGGGTGGGTTCATAGATAGATCCCTAGATTTGGAAGAGATTCAGGCCTGGATCTGAAGCCCAGCTTAGGCCCTGACCCCCTGGATGATATCAAGGGAAGAGCTTTATCGACCTGGACTTGTTTCCTTATGTCTAAAATGATGGGGTGAAACTAAGTGTGGGGTCCACGAACTTCGTGTGTGTGTGTGTGTGTGTGTGTGTGTGTGTGTGTGAGTGTGTATGTGCGTGTGCATAGATGTGTGTGTATATATGCATGTATATGTATGTGTTCACTTGTGTATAGGTTGGTGTGTACATATGCACACATATATACATATATGTTCACAACTATATAGTTTAATATAAATCAACTTCCTGTGTAATACTGTGCATTTTACTTATTTAATTGAAAAATATTATGATGACAAGGGGTTCCATGGACTATAAGAGACG